TTGGTCACCGTAGATCTTCCCTTTCAAAAACCATATACAATTTCATGGAAAAGGCTATATGCTGAGCCACAATTCGCTCGAACAGTTTAGGTAAGACACTCTTGACAATGCCTCTGTAGTTCTCTACAAGTTGCCTACTACCACATTTGTGAATAGGATTAAGGAAAGAAGTCTTCCAACACAAAGGGAAAAAACCTAAATTCAAAGACTTATTAAAAATCTTTGAGATAACATCACAAAGCTCGCCAGCACAAGATATAAGTACACATGAGGGGATTCCATCAGGTCCAGGCGAACAATTATATTTCAGAGAGCTCAATCCTTCAAAAACGTAATTTTCAAAGTTAGGAATTGAGATCGAATTAGAAATCGGATATGGATAGTTTACCGATAAATCAAAATTGGCAGTTGAAAAGTTCTGTCGGAAGTATTCCGCAAAGAGATTTGAGGTTTCAAAATCATCCGAGGACTCGGAGCCATTAAAAGACACAAACGACGGATTTATGGAGATTTTTCTTTTGGAATTAACGAACTTAAAAAAGTACTTAGGGTTAGCAAACAAGGAGGATTTAACAAACTGAAGGTATCTGCATTAGTATTGGCGGTTGAGTTAATTAAATTTATACCTTGCAACAGAGTAAGCGAAATAGTCGAAAGAAGAACCACTTTTCGAAAATTTTTTGAACAACTTGTTTTTCCTATTCTTGTAGTATTTAATTGTTTTATTAAACCACGGGGGACCCTTGCTTCGAGGACGGGACTGCTTGATCGGAACGGATGCAGAAATAGCTTGATTTAATATATTGTAGAACGACGACAGTAAGCTATCAATGCTTCCCTCTGAGAAATCGAGCACAATATGACAAAGATGTTATTTTAGTATGGAAACATTGATTTTATGGAAATCATAGAATTTATATAAAAAATTTGAATTTGGAACGTTATAGAAGTTCAACGAACCAACATGCTTGTAATGAAAGGAAATACCCAATGCTGGATGATATGGATCCTCAGGTAAACTAAACGGAAGACAACGATTAACGCAAACCTCAGGAAAATTTGCAAAGCAGAGATCAAGAAATCTACCATTGCAATTAGGGGTACCATTGTATTGAACTAAATTATTATCAAATAATTAATTGAAGAACACAACGGCTTTATCAGATGTTGAGGAAAGAAACAAACAGCCAGAACTATCACAGTAACACCAAGTGACTTGAGGAAAATTGAAGTCACCCAACGCAATGACTATATCGGTAGCTTTAGATTGCTTGGCCACTTCACAAATGAGGGCGGCCTGTTTCTTATATACAGAGATATCCGAATTTGGGGGAATATAGGAGCAGGCTACATATAAGTGTTTATTAGGAAATTTCACTCGAATAGCGATAAATTCAACATCGGGAGTAGTTGGAAATTCAAACGAATAGGTGGGGAGTGCCGAAGAAATGGCAATTAAAACACCACCACCATTGCGATACAATCGATTGCTTCTGAAAACTTGAAACGAATTATGGAAAAGTTCCGACGAATGTAGATCCGGCTTTAACCAAGTTTCAGTGAAGACCAAACAGGAAAACTCCGTGCTCACTGAATTTAGGAAGGTAGAACGAATTTTTGAATTCAGGCCCCTAACATTTTGACAAATGAGAGAAAATGAGGCTGAAGAAATATTTAGTTTTTTGAAGGGGAAAGAGCTACTGCATTCGCATTACGGGGTCGATCCCGAGGGATAAATTCCTTAATTAAGGATCCAACCGGCCACAATGGTTTATTTAAAATCAAATCCATATTTTCGGTCGGAACTAGAATTTTAAAAGATGAGATAGCTCTAGATTGAGAAGGACCCAGTTTGAAAATACTAACTCGCTTAAAATTGACAGAAGGGGCTTCGCTGCCAGATAACCCCTTATGTTTTCAACAGATGTATCTGGTGCCAGTCTTGACACAAATATTGCCTTTCTGGGAGGAACTGCCTTCAAGCATATGTCATCAGTACTGGGAGCGGCAGGGTTAACGGATGGGGAGTTATGAGTTGGGGAAAATATAGAGGGGGTAACCACACTTGCACGAGCAGCTTGTGCGGCCTGCTCAGGCAGCATTTACACTCGAACAGCGAGGAGGAGAGGACGATTTACTATTACCCTTATTAGTTTTGGGCGATGACGCCTGAGAAGATTGAGTGACATCTATGGGAGGAGATACCCTTGCCACTTCAGCATAGCTCAAGCCAGAAGGACTTCTCGGGCTATTTGTAACATTTATGTTGCCAACCGACTCAGCCGTAGCAGAAACGCTAACATTATTTATAGCCTTTAGGGAATCGCTAACTTGCACCGACGAAACGGACTTAGGAGGTGACAAACCACACGCTACGCTACGCGTTGAGACTTTGTTAGCTGGAGAGGAAGATGACTGCGCAATAAACCGACATTCATCAAACCTAGTCTTGATTAATTCAAACTTCTCCTACAAACGCCGAGATTTTTGCTCAAATCTGAGAAACAATTTCTCGTCTCCGTGAAGAGCTTGTAGAAATCAATGTCCCGCTTTCTGTGGTCAGGACATGACCATCGTAAACTTTTAGAAGGGTCAAGGACTGCATCAGCAGCACGGCCGGTAATACCAGCACACTTTGAATGTCCAAAACGATCACACAACCAACAAGAAATGAATCGTTCAGATTCAGGGCCGGTTTTCGCACGACATGGAGTAAATAAGCAATCAATGTCAATTGGAACGACAAAAGTAGCTTATTAAGGGAAAAAAGAAAAATTAAAAAATTCCCCGGCAGCGAATTAAAGCAAATATCTCACTACCTTGCCCACTGTAAATAAAGAGCGAAAGCTAAAGAACTGTAAACAAAAGATTAACAGGCAAAAAAAAAAAAGACTTTTTACAAAGAGCTCAATTGTTGCTTACACAAAACCAAAATGATTTTTTCACATAAATGAGTATAATATTCATATACTTTAAATTAACACTTTATTCTTTTAGAGAAATTATAAAATTGAACACGATTAAAGCAAAAAATAAAAGCAAGAAATACACTAAAAAATTAAAATATTTCTTGCACTGAATAAAAACGCGACCACAACACGACGCAGAGTTGCCAAACTCTGATCTCAAAGATTTTTAACATGTCCTTGTATTTAGGTGGTTTCCCTTCACGTTGGAAGAGTAGTTTCCTTATTCCTATCCACAAGAGTGGAAATAAACAATTTGTTGAGAACTACAGAGGCATAGCCAAGTTGAGTGTCTTGCCCAAGTTGTTCTAGCGTATTGTGACTCAGCATTTGGCCTTTGCCATTAATTCGTATATTTCTCCGTACCAGCACGGCTTTCGGAAAGGGCGATCTACAGTCACCAACTTGTTAGAGTTTACCTGTCATGTTTTCAAGGCTTTTTCTAGTGGCTCTCGCACAGATGTGATATACACTGATTTAAGCAAAGCGTTTGATATGCTTAATCATAACTTACTTATCTTTAAACCCCAAGCCTCTGGCTTCCCTCTCTATTTAGTGAAATGGATAAGCTCTTATCTGCACAATAGATCCTTCAGGGTTTTGTTCAACTTCATCACCTCGGATGAATACCCCGTTATGTCAGGCGTACCTCAAGGAGGTCACTTAGGTCCCATTTTATTTAGTTTATACATTAACGATCTTCCATCGGTGGTTCTTAATGTATGCTGATGATGTGAAACTTTTTTCTTCCTTCTCTGTTGAATCGCAATCCCATCAGCTTCAAGGTGACTTGGATAATTTTGTTGCATGATGCTCTTTGAATCTTCTAAAACTAAATCTGAGTAAATGTAAAAAGCTTTCTTTCTCAGGAAGAAAGTCATTCATTACTCAGTATTTCATAGATTCGCATAATTTGGTGGACGTCGATTCGATTACAGATTTAGGTGTTCTATTTACCTTTCAACTTGCATATTGAGCTCTCGATAAGCAAAGCTAGGTCCGTGCTTGGTTTTATAAAAAGGTGGTCCAAAGAGCTTGATGATCCCTACATTACGAAAAGGCTGTACATATGTTTGGTCAGACCCTTACTCGAGTATGCCTCTGTTGTGAGGTCTTCTTCATATAGGTGCTATGTAGATTCAGTAGAATCTGTTCAAAAGCAATTCTAGTTCTTTGCCCTTAGGAGTTTGGTTTTGGACCCACTTGCCTCTTTGCCTCCTTATAAAAATAGGTTGCTTTTCTTATCCTTATTGTCTCTGGAGAAACGTAGGTTTGTTCTTGGCGTTTCCTTTGTAATCAAAGTAATAAATGGTGTTATTGACTCGCCTTCATTACTTGGTGAAATAAGCTTTAATGTCCCTAACCGCTTCGCTACGCACTTTATCTTGGTTAAGCTTAGTCAGTGTAATTATAATTATGAGCTGTTCAATCCGCTCAGAGTCGTTTGCAAGAACCTAAATGACGTCTATCACTTATTCTCGTTATCGGACTTTTTAAAGTCCATTAAAGCAACATTGCTTAACACGCGCGATTTACCTATGCCGTACTTAAACTAGCTTTTATCCTTAAACGTCGTTACGATTCGAAAATGAATTGTTGTTAAGTATTATCGGTTGCCAGGCTTATGCATGTTTGCGATGGCTTAGGGGTTCATTTGCAATTTGGTCCTGTACCTGTTGTGAGTGTGGCTCTATGCTGGTTGTGTACATGCTTTTCCCTTTTTTTCCTTCTTATTTGTTTTATTATACTTATACTAAGTCTTATTATTAATTAATAAGTTTTGCTTTAAGTGCCAATTGCACTTGACCGTTATTTGGTTAGTTGAGTTTCATGTATAAATAGAATTAAAAAAAAAAAAATAAATAAATAATTAAATAATGTAACTTGCGAAATTATGCTGATAAGTATATTTAAAAATAATTTGGAAAAGTTATATATATTACGCTTTTACCGTCCAAAAAAAAAAAAATAAATAAATATACGGTCTTGTTTTCAGCTATATGCATGTGTATACATTAAAATTCTTATTTATTATTAAACTCATCTTCCGACATTATAGCTACATTGACTTTAAATAAATACAAAAAATGCATATTTTTAAACTAATCGTCCGATTTCCTCGGTAAATGCTGCTGTAGGATGTGGCATTTACAGTCTTTCCTTCAGCCCTTTATTCCTATTAAGCTAAATACTTTATAAAACAATAACATATTCTCCGTAATAATAAATAAAAAATTTCATGTGTAGAAGGCAAAATAATAAACATGAATTTTAAATTAGTTTTTCAATTAAAGTCCAATTTTTTCTTATTGCAAATGGCCCATTTTTACACAATGTATATTTAGAGAAGTCCTTAACGAAAAATTTTCACCACAAGTTCTACATGAGAACGGTGTTTGACCAGTATGAATTTGCATATGCGTTTTAAGCACAGATGAATACTTGAAAGTTTTTTCGCACTCGGTGCACTTATAAGGGCGTAATTCTGAATGCACACGCATGTGTGTGCGCAATTTATCTTTGCGTTTAAAGGATTTACCACACTCTGAACAAATGTGAGGTTTCTCATCGCTATGTGTAACCAAATGATATCTCAAGCTATCCGAGCGTTTAAAGGCTTTTTCACAGAATTCACATTTAAATGGGCTATCACCGGTGTGAATTCGTACATGTTTGCTTAAGGTTCCATTTTCGGCAAATGATTGGCCACAGAAAGTACATAAATAAGTCTGATTTGACCTTTTTTTGGACTTCTGTTCTGATTTTGGTTTCTTTTCTATATTCTCACCATTAATATGTATTTTTTTAACATGTCTTTGCAAATCATCTTTTCGACTATAACGTTTGGGACATAATGTGCAGCAAAAGCTTCCTTTAGCTCTGCGAGGTTTGAAATATTTATCAACCATTTCTGGACCGTGTATGGTTCTTAAATGAACTTTTATCGCTGACGTTCGGCTAGTCCTAAAACTACATAGCGCACAAGGAATTTTTTGTTCCTCTGGCATATGGGTATAAGTTTTATGTATTTTTAAGGCAACTGCGTTGTCATAGACTTTATCGCAGATGTCACAACGTACAGCCAAAAATGTTTGAGATATTCTGAAGTCTTCTTTTGTTTCATCTTCTGTTGCTGATAATGCATCATTGGTGTCGTTGCATACATTTTTTAGGCGATCATCACTGAAAGTAATGTGTAAATTAGTCACGCAAACTTAAATCCTCTCGCAAATCTACCTTAGAATCTGTTCCTCAGTCTTACTGTCGGAGTCGAGATTCAAACTAGGTTTTAAAGATACATCAATTTGTATTTTTCTACCTTCTTGCGAAGAGTACGATTCCTCCGTTATTCCTGGCTCTGTTTTAATTTGCACTTCCACTAGTTCTAACAAATTGTGCGGCTCTTCTGTTTCTTCAGGATCTATCTTAATTTGCATTTCTTTTGTAGGAGGCAAATCTATAGGAATTTCCCTTAAACAGTTCTGAGTTGCAATGCCGCCTAAATGCTGCGTAAATTCCTCATGACGTCTCTGTGCTTCCAGGATAAATGCGTATATTTTTTTTAGTAAACTAGCACACTTTTTGCAGATTTTTTGCGGTAAATGATCTTCAATAATTATACTCTAACCAAATAATCATATATTAATTATAAAGAATATACATTTAAGTATTTGGGACTTACGTCCATTTGCAATAAGTCATTTAATAGGTCGCCGTAAGTTTTTTTGTGAATATCTATTTCGTTAATCGTTTGTTGTAAAGACTGGTAGCTTGAGGCGGGCTTTATGCATGTACGACATCTTATTTCAGAGGTTATATCCATTTTTATGGTAGAAACAAACTTTATTCTAATTTTCTTAGCGGAACCGAACTAGTGAATATCAACTGTTTATTAATACTGCAAATAAATTAGCGTCTGCTTCTTTTTGTTCCACGATAGAAAAAGTGCGTTAAGTTAATAGCACGACAGAGAACAAAATGATCGGAGTAGCCATAATGTTTGTCAAAATAAAGAGTAGTACCATAGATAACTAAATGATAAGATGTGCCAACATTATCTTCAAAATTAGAAGTGGTAAAATTCGAAGGATTAATTAAGTTCTTGTTATTAATAACAATAGCAGCGCTGTTCATTAGCAGCAATTTAATTGCCTGTTCTTTAATTCTCATTATTTGTATGGACAAACTTTCTATTAATGGTTTCTTGAGATGAGGTCATATGAAATTGTTTACAAATCAAATATAAACACACAAGTATTCGCAAAAGTAGATACAAAATAGCCAATTCAAGAGAAAACATATGAAATTGTTTACAAATCAAAGGTAGACACAAAAGTAGACACAACTAAACGTTTGGAAAGTTAAAGAATAAAAATTTCTTTTAAGTCAATATGCGCTATTGTACACATATGAATATGTACAAAAAAGAAACAAAAGTTAGACAGTTTGCTTTTCAATTTTTATTTCGTTGATATGGAAGATTTCATGTTGAATAACGCTAGATTTTACGTTCGCTAAATGCCTCAATAAATTTCGGGTAAAATAGTATTTTGAAGAAATAGTTTACCTTTTTATTTAATAAAGTATGTTTGCGTTTACATACTTAGCATATAACTGTGCAAGTCACAAGGTACTTATTGTATCTGTATACTTCCCCAAAAGAATTATAACATATTACAACGAATAAATAAACGAAAAAGATTAAAAATTCGTCCTTAATCATAATTATAACATATTACAACGGATAAATAAACGAAAAAGATTAAAAATTCGTCCTTAATCATAATTTACACCATTTTAGTTGCTTTTTATTTTTTCTATTAGTTCGCTCTAAATCGGCATGCTGTCGTACCAAGAAGTTTGAATTTTCGTACAATAATGACACTGAAATAGCGTCCACCAGATAGCATCTATGTTAGTTTTAGCCATCGCCCGTGGTAAACGCGTTTTTGTGTGCCACCCTTAATTTTTTATCGAAACACCTAATACGTGTTTGTTTTTGTAGCATTCTGCCACCTAAATTTCAGTATGGTATCGGTATATTTAAAAAAAAATCATCCTTGAGGTTTTATAAATATGGCGTCTCTGTGTTATAAACTATGAAAGTTCGCTCAAGAAAAAGGAATATTTTTGATAGTGTACTTTTTTTTTAAAATACTTGCATGTATTGTATATCCGTCGTAAGCATTGAACAAAGGTCAAAGTTTGCAGGTTATAAACGCTTTTTTTAGGATCAAAGTTGATAGCGCTATTAACTGACGACTGAAAAACGGCATTAAAATTAACTCAGATGACGAAGCAGATACTTGGGAAATGTCTATAACGAAACGAACGGAAGAACAGACGATAAAGTGTTTTTCAGGCCATCCAGATTTTCTAAGGAATGATTGGTACTTGGCCAAACAATCTAAAGCTGCAAGCGTACCGTTTTGTATGCGACAATTCATTAGGTATGTTTATAAATTCGTTATTTTAAATCTTGCGTTGAATGAGCAAGTCAAAGTTTGCGTCATTCGATTTGAAAATGAATACGAATATGTTGATTCGCAACATACAGCACATACACTTCCCAAGACCAATATACAGATTGAGATTGACAGCAAGGACGACAATCAGATGTATTTTTCTTATAACTTTTTGGTGTAGGTTTTCTTGAAACGAAAATCGGATGAAAAGAAATATTGCCAAAGTAAATAAAGAGTGTTTCTCTAAAGTGATACCATAAGACCTACCAAACCCAGGAAATATAAAAGCCTTTGTTTTTTCTCAAATGCCAAGGATGCTACAGATTTTTATACCTACCACTCAAAATATAGATTCTTATCCTGGTTTCAACCCCGAGAGGTACCTACCAGAACAGCTATAGTCTGCATACATAAATTAACCAGCATAATATTCAGAGTTGGCTCAGTCTTGCTCGTCTGTCCGTGTGGGGCGCGCAAAGGAAGTTGGTGGTAGCAAATCAAATTCGGAAATGACGTTGGTCGGTTATTTGTGAAAGAATTTTTAAAATTAACTTTTTTGTCAAAATATGATTCGGAATCGAGGATTATAGTAGAATGTGAGTCCACATAACTGCTACAAAGCTAATATATCCGAGTGGTATAGAGTGCGAGAATATCTTCGAAATTTCTTCTATAGTAGTCTTACCTTTAAGAGGACTGGCCGCACAATCTAATGCCTAACGACCTAGCGACATTCGACAGTAAATTATGTTCACTAAACCAATTATGCTATGTCGCGTTACATTGTGACGATTTACAAATTGTTTTTGAAATACTTTTCAGGAATACAAATCGAAACGAAGGTAACTAGGGTTGATCATTATTTATGAATTTGAAATGTGGAAACAGTAAGATCGCCTGTGAATAATAGGTACAAAATGTAAGAAATACACGCCCTAAGCCGAGTATCACGTATTTGTAATGTGAAAGTTCATCTATTGACTCTTTCCGCTCGCTCTAACTATGCACAAAATCAATATCCCTTACAAGTTGTGAGCTACTTTTTGAGTTTGTAAATCACGCTCCCATTCAAACTTGACGTACACTTATAAATTGGAAGCAAATATAAAGTTTCAAATTGTACGTCAATTCACACGACACTTGCAAATTGTAAGTGACACTTTTTTCATTACGGGCGTCAATACAGTAGCCCGTTCAACACCGAGTCCAAATTTTATTTTTCATCATCGATTACAAATATATATGTCAGACCCTAATTTTCTAACATAGTTCTGGACGCCTTAGCGTTCCGCTCATGGACGATAATCACGTAGACATGTAAAACTGAGCCGACTCTTGAATCTTATGCGAATTAACTTGTGTATGCGCTTTATTCTATCTAATAAAAACGTTACAAACAGAACGCTGCTGCCACGAAATGTGTTTGTTGAATATGAAATATTGAATACTAAGTTGAAATAGTGAATACACGGTTGGAAGACAACTTTCAACAATCGTCCGAGACGAGAGACCGATAGTTTCGGGTTTTCGTTTTTCTTCTTATCTGAACAGCCATCGTGTGAACATCGGCGCTTTAGAGAGTAACCCAGACTCAGATTATATTTTTTCTTTTTTTCTTACGAGACATTTGTGAAAGTGTCGGCCTCAACTTGCTGAACTTAAAATAATTTGTACTGAATTAATATGATTTATAAAGTTGATTAAACAAAATAAACTTAGATTTTAACGTTAGTTAGTTCAAAGTAAATTCAATCCATGAACTTCCTCCATAGATTTAACAAACAATAAAAGATTCGCCCCACCAAGAAGTTCATATAAGTGAGTGACGAAACCTTCTTCAGATAACGAAATCGTCGCGAGAAATGGGGGAATACCTAGTGTACCGGCGGGCTAAACTCATCCAATTATTTATTAATTAATTTATTTATTTTAATTCTACTTATACATGAAACTCAACTAAACAAATAACGGTCAAGTTCAATTGGCACTTAAAGCAAAACTTATTAATTAATAATAAAACTTAGTATAAGTACGATAAAACAAATAAGAAGGAAATAAAAGAAAAAAAGCATGTACACAACCAGCATAGAGCCACACTTAGAACCGGTACTCGACCAAATTGCAAATGAACCTCTAAGCCATCGCAAACATGCATAAGCCTGGCAACCGATAATACTTAACAACGAATCGTAACGACATTTAAAGATAAAAGCTAGTTTAAGTACGACATAGGTAAATCGCGCGTGTTAAGCAATGTTGCTTTAATGGACTTTTAAAAGTCCGATAACGAGAATAAGTGATAGACGTCATTTAGATTCTTGCAAACGACTCTGAGCGGATTGAACAGCTCATAATTATAATTACACTGACTAAGCTTAACCAAGATAAAGTGCGTAGCGAAGCGGTTAGGGACATTAAAGCTTATTTCACCAAGTAATGAAGGCGAGTCAATAACACCATTTATTACTTTGATTACAAAGGAAACGCCAAGAACAAACCTACGTTTCTCCAGAGACAATAAGGATAAGAAAAGCAACCTATTTTTATAAGGAGGCAAAGAGGCAAGTGGGTCCAAAACCAAACTCCTAAGGGCAAAGAACTAGAATTGCTTTTGAACAGATTCTACTGAATCTACATAGCACCTATATGAAGAAGACCACACAACAGAGGCATACTCGAGTAAGGGTCTGACCAAACATATGTACAGCCTTTTCGTAATGTAGGGATCATCAAGCTCTTTGGACCACCTTTTTATAAAACCAAGCACGGACCTAGCTTTGCTTATCGAGAGCTCAATATGCAAGTTGAAAGGTAAATAGAACACCTAAATCTGTAATCGAATCGACGTCCACCAAATTATGCGAATCTATGAAATACTGAGTAATGAATGACTTTCTTCCTGAGAAAGAAAGCTTTTTACATTTACTCAGATTTAGTTTTAGAAGATTCAAAGAGCATCATGCAACAAAATTATCCAAGTCACCTTGAAG